TAAAATTGGTGGTGCACTTCATAAAATAGAGTTCAAATTTTACTTATTTAGGGTTTGAGCTATTACTGAAAAATTTTAGGAATTTTTTTTTTGCTTATTTTTATAAGTTTAACGTCACGGCTCCCGGCCTTAAATGAGAAAAATGTTTCTTCTTAGATTTTTACATATATTCTTGATATTTATAAATGTAAATGAATCTTTACTCTGACAGTTTGAAAAAAGATCTTTTTCTTTAACTTGAGTTAATTTTTATAGTTTTAACAGATTTTTTTTTACTCTTGGGCCAATTTGTCCCAAAATGGGAAAACGGGCTTTGTATTATTTATTACATTTTTGTAATATTTTTTTCATTTTTACCTTGTTGTCCTGAATGGGCGATTGGGCCAAGAACAATCAAAGTTCTGTAGAAGAAATTAGACCTAATATTTTCTTGTTATTTATAAATGTTAATAAATTTGTTTACCCTGACCGTTTGAAAAAACTCTATTTCTTTATCTAAAGTTAATTTTTACGGTTTAAACGAAGCTTTTATAGCTTTTGATCCAATTGCCCCAAATGGGTAAATGAGGAGTGGAATTCTTACCTAGGCTCCCCTAATATGAGAATGATAATTTGTAGATTTGAATGCTTTAGTAAAAAAGAAAACAATAAAAATAATTCAGCATAAGTACTTCAATAAAATTCCTTCTTGATAGCATATGGAAAATAAATTTATTATCAAAATTTAGTGCCATAATTCCTTAAGAAAAACTCAACAAATCTTGACGCCAAATAGGCATTATTGAGCCCAACATAGATTGTTATAACTTGGGAACCAGTTATCCAAATTTAAAAAATGAACACATTCTGAAAGCTTCTTCATTATCCGCATATAATGGTATTAATTATAACAAGAGATAATTGTAATAGTAAAATCGTGTGAAGTGTCTACTGTAAATAAAATCAATACATTTTATTTTGAATCGTTTTATAAATAGCCAACAACACAACATTCAATATTTTTTGTTCTACTAATAGAGCTATTTGTTTATATTATACAATTATACAGTGTAATTACTACACTTTAATTAAAAACCGCAAAAATCCGCAAAAAACTGCTGTCTATTTATTCTGCTTTTGGAATTTTCAAACCTATTATTAAAGTTCACCTTTTCGATATTATTCTGGAAAGTTTTTTTTCGATTTTATTCCTTTTTTCACAGTTTCGATATAATCCCGGAAAGTCCCGTTTCGATATTGTTCCTTTTTTTACAATTTCGATCTAATTCCGTTTTTTGAAATTTTGATACTATTCCTTTATTCACACTTTCGATATTGTTCCGTAAGTCTTTTTTCAATATTATTCTCTTTTGAGCTGTTTCGAGATTATTCTGCTTTTAGGATTTTCGATACTAAACCTTTTTTAACAAATTTGAAATGTTTTCTTTTTCGATATTATTCCGAAAAGTCCCTTTTCGATATTATTCCTTTTTTCACAATTTCGAGGTTATTCTATTTTTCGGATTTTCGATACAATTCCTTTTTTTACAATTTCGATGTTATTCTCTATTTCGATGTTATTCTGGAAATTCCAATTTCAAGATTAATCAGTTTGGCTGTTTTCGATACTGTTACTGCTACCCGTTGAAATAGACTATTAAAGCATTATTTATATACAAAGCATATATATTATAATAAAAAGTTGATTTTTTTAATAAAACAAATTTTTTTGTGGTACCTTAAACTTGATTTTGTCATGGAGCGTCACAAATCTCAGTGAATTTTATTTTATTGCTTTGATTTGCTGAAATATTTGAATATAAAATTAAGAGTGCTTGTGTTTTGGGCTTAGAGGCAAGTTTAAGAAGGAGGGGGGAAAGGAAGCAGCCCCTTCCTTTAGATACATATTTTTAAAGTCTAATATATATTAATAATCTTTATATATTATTACAGAACTTTGATTATAGGGAATATAACCAAAAAGATCAAGTTTATAGTGCAGAAGTTTTGGACACCGTTGGAATAGGAGTTTGAAAAAAGTGTAAATGTGTAAATATTTAAAAAAATGATAAATATATTTGTATACTTGTTATCTTACATTTTAATACTATTATAATGTAATTTATGTAAAAGTTTTGTGAATATGTTTTTTTATGTATGACAATGTAAAACAATTTTCGATGATAAGACTATATGGACTTCTGCAAGTTTCCCACGTTCTTTTTACAGTTTTACAGAAGTTTATTCATTATTTGAAATTGTGAAAATACTTTCGTGATTTTTTTATTTTATTTCTTTATTCACTGTTAACAAATCTTTATTATGAATTCATAAAGTTGTAGTATTAAGAAACAAAGAATGAGTTTAAAATTAAAAAAAAAACAAATAAATAAAAATACCACAAATCGTAGGCGCAGGTTCGGATCGTGATCATGTTTTAATTTTGTAACAATTTATTTGGAAGAATAACGTAGTTTTATGTGTTTCTATTATCGTTGTTTATTAATGTTTATTAATGATTAGTATTTGTAGAAAACAGAAAAAGCAACATTACAACGATGTGATAATGATTAAAGGTTGGCTGCAAGAGCAGGTCCAACTATGTTTACAATGCGTTTTTGCACCTTATTTAAAAGAGAAAGGGCATCATAAAAAGATCCACCCCAGATATGGCAACAATATTCCATACAAAGCCGGATTTGAGATTTATAGAGATTTATAGAGAATAGAATCTGGAAAAAGAAAGCGTCGAGTACGATAAAGAGATGCAACCTTAACAGATGCTAATTTTGCAACTGATTTAATATATGGTTTCCAAAAAAGATTGGTATTTTAATTATTTTTAAACTTGTTAAACTTGACTCAAAGCATAGACAGTACTCAGTACACTGCTTAATAGCCCAAGCAATTGCCTCATTACTATTAATAAACTCTAAACCGTAACAAAGGGATCCAAATGTGTCCTCGACAATGCATACCAAAAGTACGAACAGGGACACCATCCATGCACAACATGGCAACTGTTAGTACTCTGATATTTTTCAGCTGTTGATGGAATTAGCCTCTCTGAAAGCTACCACAGAGTTCGGAAAACTTGACTACTAGCCGGCCTCAGAACCATAAAACTGAGTTTTAGAGCTGAACCCTCATTAGGAGATAATAGAATGAGTTACCAAGTCATAAAAACAAAGACACAAGTAAAACACTTGTATTAATTCAAGAAGTTCCATCCAGCGTTCAACATCCTAAACTGGAAACAATTTATTAAAAATACATCTGCGCCAGCCTAATAGATGAAGAAGGGGTACGAGGCTGGTCAACAGATAGAATCTGTTTACCCCTTAAGTCTTTGCTTAGGAGGACAGTAACCGGATGCATTTAACATCTGCCTAAGGTGAGTATTTTTATCGAGACATCTTCTCTAGCCTTTACTCAACCAAGAGCCCGAAAGAAATATACTGCTATCAGTATCATATAATTAAATGTGCTATGTTAAGAAATAAACTCCTATCAATATCATGTAATTAGAATATCACATCTGTTATGTATTTTTGTTTATAAATGTCAAACTAAATAGTTGTATTTTTAGTTTACGATTTCTAGGATATCACATTACCCTAATAAAATCAAAAATATATTGCACATTATCAGAATCAAATATTTAGAATACCACATTCCCCATGTATATTGTTCATAACTGTTATAAAAATTAGTTGTAATTTCTGCTTAGAAACTTAGAATATCGCATCTCCTAATAAATTAAGAAATATAACGCATATTATCAGTATTATGTTTAGAATACCACATCTCCTGTCATAAAATATTGAACATTGAATCACTTGATCATTTATTTATTGGTACAACGAATTTTATTTGACGATCAATTATTTTATTTGAATGGCATCAAAAGGTTGCTTGCACCCAGTAGATAAGTTTTGCTACGTATGTGGACAATTTAAAGAACAAAGGTTAAAATACGTGTTGGAATCAGAACAAGTTCATTTTAATGACTTACTTTCTAGTCTCTCAAAATGTCAAAATGTTGCTAAGTGCCTTGAAGTATTACAACTATGGGTAGAAGCTCATCAAAATGATGACTTCAAAATGATGTCACTCCTCATGGACTTTTAAGGCACTTTTCAAAATGGTTTCCATGGATATGTGGAATAAAGTAATTGGGTTTATTAAGCCAAGATTGCACAGTAGTCAGTTTAAGGGAGGCTCAGTTTTTAAAGCTATTAGATAACATACAAACATTAGACAATTTTCTCAAATCCAAGTTTAAAGTTATACCTGATGAATTGTAAAAGCTTGCAATGAAAAGTACTAAATAAAGAAAGCAATAAAAGCACTAAATAATGTCACAAAAATATGCTTTGGTCTAAGTTTGAAAATAATTTACAAGAATTACATCAATACCGACAAGGAAGCATATATAGAATTGAACGAAAAAGTATCCCTAAAAGTAAATGCTTTTTTCATCTATGTACCAGCTTTTTTGGAACCTGGGTAATAAATAGCCTGGAAAAGGTCTTGGTTTTTGATAAGAACAGGTTTGAGAATCTGTTTATTACAACTTCAAACTGTTTTATGAGCAAGGAAACAAAGTTCCAAGTTGTCACAAACTGTATCAATCAAAACTGCTGAAATCGGTTATTGTTTGTAATAGTAGACATGCCCGTTTCAAGATTTAATTTTAAAGAAGACATTTATGTTTTTAGAAAACTTATATATATTTTTTTATCTAATATTCTTTAAAAATCTTTACGTTTTATAGTATTTTTTTATATCAAGTTATTTAGTACAAATAAAAAGCAAATAATATTGCTTTTAAAAAGTAATTATAAATTGGAAGAAAATGTTTAAATTTTTTATTAACTTAGATAATTGCATATTGATATTGAAATAAGATACATTTCTAATTTATGCTGAGTAATGAATGCTTTTTTAAAACTTAGAAGTTTTTATATTTTAAACAAAAAGTTGAACTCCGTATTTGTGTAGATATGAATTTAAAGAAGTACTTCAAACGGTTTTTAAACTCTATTTATAAACTCTTTCCCTAAAAAACAAAATTTGTAATAAATAATAACTTGCAGTTTATCAACGTGTTAATCGTTTATTTGAACTAAATTTCTTATCATGTCCTATACTACTAGATTTTTTTACAGGCGTTTTTGAATCTCCGTATGGATTCAAGTCAATTTTATTTTTTAAATTTCCAATTGTTAACTCTAGTGATTGTGTTCGTTTTGCTATTGTTTGATCATCGATGTCTCTATAATATTTATTTTCTAATGAACGATAATCATTGTTCTTTAATTTGTTTTCTTGTGAATTATAGCCTTGAATTACGTTAGAACTGGATTTTTTTATCGCTGAAAATAGATCTTGATCACACACAGTATTATTATCCGAGTCAGATATTTCTCCATTAGGAATTTGCATTTGACGGTCAAGTTTTTGCAAAGATTTTCCTAAAATAGCTTTAATATTATCCGTATCCTTTGTTATTGTGTTTAAAGAATGACCGAAACTTGATCGCAAATGATTCATTTGGTCATCGCGTCGATTATACATCTCTTCAAGTTGCTCACGACGTCGTTTTTCATAGTTTAAAGCCTCCTCTAATGATGCCACCTAAAGTTTAATAAAATAGGTCACGTGTGTTTTACATGTAAATCAAGCATATGAAAACAGAAATAAACTTTTTTTGAAACCTGCATTTGCAATTGTTTAATGCTTGTGGTGTTTTGTTGTCTTTTTTTTTCTTCCTCTAATGCGCGTTCGTGTTCGCGTTCGAATCGAGCCAATTGGTTCAACCTGAACCAAAATAATGTTATACTGCTTGAACAATGTAATATGTTTTAAATAAATTTAAAAAAACTTACGTTTTTTCTTTATCATCCTCGGCTTGTGCAAGAAGTCGCTGAAGATTTGCTATTTGATCTTTAAAATACTTCTTTTCTGTTTCACTGTCTGCAATATTTTTTTCTAGTATTCGCTTTTCATTACTTATGTTAGAAAGCATTTCTTCGTATATTTTTGCATCACCTTCTATTCTATAAAAAGTTGATTTTAGACTCTGATAGTTTTCAACCGTTTGATCCGATTTCATCGTCAAATCTGTTATCAAACTTTCTTTTAACCGAAGACGTTTCTCCGCATGTGAAAGAGTTTCTCGAAGTACAGATTTCTCGGATTCAGCTGTAGAAATCTTTTCAAACATAGCTTCAATGTTTCTGCTTTGTTCATCAAAACGTTTATTTAAAGTTTCATTTTCGCGTGTGAGCGTTGCTATCTTTTTTTCAGATTCCATTTGTGAGTCACTTAGCACTTTTATTTTTCGTTCGAGCTGTTCATTAGCTGCTTTAAGTTTTTTATTTTTTGAATCATAAACTTTACAATCTTCTTTTGTATCGCTTAGGGTTTTTTGGAGTTTTTCATTTCGTTCTGTATACTTATTTAAGTTAATGTTCAGTTCTTTTGTCTTATTTAATAAATTTAAGATTTCGTTTTCTTTGTCAGCTAGTTTTTGTGAGCGTTCCTTCTGTAAACTCTCCTTAAGTTTTTCGTTTTCGTGTTGGTGTTTTTCTAGCATATCGGAAAGACGATCAGAATACGATTCTAAATGTATTAGCCGTTGTGCAAGAGTTTTGTTGTCTTCTATGAGCTTTTCTAATTCCGATTTTAAATTTAAGTACGCATTATTTTTGTCGCTGTTTTCTTTTTGCATTTGATCTAATTGTAACTTTAAATCGTTAGACAATCTGATCTTCTCAGTAATTTCATTTTCGTATTGAAATTTTAATTTTTCTTCAAACTTTTTTTTTGCAGAATCAAAAAAATAACGCTCTCCTTCCAATTCTTGAATCTTAGCTTTCAATAATCGTTTTTCATCCTCGTAAAAATTAATTTTAATCCTGTTTTTTTCCTTGGAATCAATCAGATCTTTTTCGAAAATATCAATCTTCTTTTGATTTTCAATTAAGTTCTTTTGCAAACGGTTTATTTCTTCGCTCTTTTGAATAATATCTCGTTCCTTAAAAAAATCATTTTGTTTAAACAACATTCGAATAGTCTTTCATAAAATATTAAGAGCCTAAACAACTCTAAGGTATTTTAAAAAATGAACGCAATTAAAATAAAGAATCAAAATCATTTGTTATTGGATCATTCTTTAACCGCTAAAAAAATATATTTTCGCTAAAATTATATTATTACTAAAAATAAATTATAAAATATATAACGCTATAAAATATATAACCGCCATAAAACATGTAACTATTATAAATGATTTCAATGATATTAAATATATATTTTTACTTATATAACCATTTAAAATGTCTTAAAAAAACCACAATAAATGTACAATAGCTACAAAGTTTTCGCGTATTTTTTTGTTACTGTTTTATAATGTATTATTACAAAAATTGTAATAAATATTAGATATATAACTTTTTGAAAGTTTTTTGTAAATAGTTTTGAAAGTTATATACGATTGAATGCAAAATAAGTTTGTCACATAAAAGTTTTAAGGCATGACAATGAAACATATGCGGAAACTTTAGTACATACATCAACTGTTAGAGAAAATTATCAAATTGAAGATAAAAATAGCAGCAAAAAAAAAGTTCATTTTTATCAGTACATGTTTTTTTTAATAGTCTAAGGTTCCCAGTGGGCTCAAGATATAAGTTAGACGTTAAAAAAACGCATACGTCTTATGGATGTTCTTAACACTGACTCAAGTATAAAAAACCAGTAAACGCAAGACGTATATTAAACGTCCAAAGCGTGTCTTAATATACAATTAAAATAACTGTTTTATACACACATAACTACAATTTATAGTTAATTCTTTCTAATTATTTTGGCTTCTTAATCGCATATTTGCATATTGCCAAACTACAATTTTAACTATAAAATAGTTAAAAAAATGAAAGATTGTAGTGATGTTATTGCCTTACTTTACAATCATTCAATTATCAAATATCAAATAAAGTCTTACTTGATTGGTTATAGTTGAAGATGCTTTTTGAAGTTGCTCTTCAAGTAACTCTTTTTGCTTTATTTCAAGACAATTTTTTTCCTGTTGTTCTAAGAGCTCGTTTTTAAATTTTGTAACACTCTCATGTAAATTACAACTTTTGTTTTCACTCTGCCTTAGATGTTCAGCTAATGTAGAAATATCAGTTTGAAGAGATCTGATTTTTGATGTTACTGTTTCGAAGTATGCTTCAAGCTCATCTGCAGTAACATCTTCATTAGAGTTTCTTCCTGTTATTAAATATAAATAAATTATTTAAACAGTGTGTAATTACAAATAATAAATTTAAATACTTCAAAAAATGTTTTCTACATAAAAATGACCTAAATTTGCTGCTAGTTGACTTTTTATAACTAAGTTTAACTCATTTAACAAAAATTCATTTTCAGCTCTCTGTTCTTCTCGCAAATTAAGTTCTGATTGTAGTATTCTCAGTTTTTCAGTGAGATTTTTCATTTCAAAATTTTGTTCGTCATTTTTTCGACGATTATCGTGAAAATTACGCTCTAGTTCTTCGCATTTTTCAACAAGTTTTGTTTCGTTAATTACCAAATTATCAATGTCTTGTTGAAGACAAGCTTCGCGTTTTTGGTGCTCCTTTTCCTGGTATTCATTCCTTCAAATAAAATATGTTAAAATTATATAATATTCAAAAAAAAATGTAAAGTATATACAAAAAAAAGTATATACTTTGTAACCTAAAATCTATATAAAAATCAATAAAAGGTGTAAATAAGACAAAAGAAAATTAATAATATAAACTTTATTTGTTTGTTTTTTCGATCAGAAAATCATATTATAGTCGTATACATTAAGTTGGTAATAAATATGAAAGTTGATAATAATAACGTTATAGACCATATTATAATCAAAAGTGTAGCAGAATATATAAAAAAAGTTTAATTTAAATAATTTTTTCGTTATACATATTTGCAGACGCATTAAATAGTAAATTATTTATATTCATTTAATTATTAATAACGGGGTCAAAAACAAACGAAAAATTATTCTTTATATTCATTACAAATTATTTTATATATATATTTAACTTATTTCTAAAAGCAAATCGAATAATAATTCATTTTTTATTATGTTTCCGCAAAAACGTCTCGAATGATAAATTAAAGATTGTCTAACTTTTAAACACGATTTAAAGCTTTTTTATACATTAAGCAAGTCTGTATTAACGAGCAAAAAAAGCAAGTCTAATTTTATGATAAAGCATCAAAATTTGAACAAATCAAACAAACCGATAACATTAATTGAAATTTTTCTATATGGAGGACCCCAGACCTCAAAGACGTTCTTGAAACATTCCTGCTAAAAGGATATGAGAGCAGAAAATATTTAATATTAGATATTGATATTAAGATTTTTAAATAGTATCTTTTTAAAACCAACCCACCAAATGCAAGACGTTTTTAACACGTCTAAAAAAACGTTTTAATACATCTAAATCACTTGTTGTGTTAGGAAGGTAAAGAAATAAGGTAAAATATTAAAGACCTTTTTTTCAAAGATTCGTTTAATTCTCTAAGATCAGATATTTCCTGTTGTGCGTGAGTAACTTCGTCTTTTAAACGAGTAACCGAAATGCTCTGCTGCTTAAGTAAAAGGTTCGAACATTGATTTTCAGATTTACATTCTTCAAAACTACGCGTAATCTCTAGAAGTTCGCGTTTTAAAGAATGCAATTCAAACTCAAGTTCTCTATTGCGTTTAGATTTTACTTCATTTTCCGCTTTATAGATAAGCACGGTTTCTTCTAACTCGTTGTGTTTCTCTTTGAGTGAGTTAAGCTCTCCGTGTTGTTTCATTCGCAATTGATCTTTTTCAATTATGAACTTTCGTGTTTGGTCAAGTTGTTTTGCAACACTTATCCTCTCGCTTTCTTCTTGCTTCAGTTTCATTTCAAGTCTAACAATCTCTTGCTCTTGCAGCATGTTAACTTGTGATGCTAAAATAAAGTGAAATCAATTAATTTCGATGTAATCCAAATAACTTTAAAAGAATCGTCAATTATTTAAATACTGTAAACTGATAATTAAGATCTTCATTGATTACTTTGTACTACTTAAACAAAATATTTTACGATGCCTAGCTGCTTCATTTATAAAAAGATTGAAATTTGAGACAATTTTTTCAGTAATTAATCAAATTCTAAAGAATATTCACATAGAAAATTGGTATTGCTTTTATTAAGATATTTTTAAGATACTTGTGAATTTTTTTTTTTTTAATGTTCCAGATAAAGTATTATTTTAATGTTCTAAATTTATTTATTTGTAGAAACTGTATACTGCTTTAAATATATAAATAAAATTATAACTAAACGACAGTTTATCATTCTATAATCTATTATAAACCTTATTTATTTATAATCTTATCTAAGAACAATCTAGTCAAATGAATAATCAAACTTAAAACTGATATGTTTACATTATATCGAAATCTATTTAGTATTCTTAATAAAGGTTTTGAGAATATCTTTTCTATCGGACGTCTCAATAATATTATATATCTCAATAACGTAAATGATCATTTACGTTATTGAGATATATCCGATCAAAATAGGTTTTATTTCATCTCTTTTAGTTTTACTTCTTATTTAAATAAATTTAAAAAATATTTGATATGATTTTAATAAATATTAAAAACTGGTTTTTGTTAAGTATTTTGAAAAGGCTGAACCAGTACTAAATTTAGTACTGGTTTTACTTTTAATAAATTTGGTTAGTACTTTAAATAAATATTAAAAACTGGTTTTTGTTACGTATATTGAAAAGGCTGAACCAGTACTAAATTTACTACTGGTTCAGCCTTTTCAATATACGTAACAAAAACCAGTTTTTATTATTTATTAAAATCATATCAAATATTTTTTAAATTTATTTAAATAAGAAGTAAAAGTAAAAGAGATGAAATAAAAATTTTATTAGAAACACAAAAGTTTTTTTTAATTTTTTAATTTTTAGGAATTAAAAAAAGCACAGTCATTTTAATATTTTTAATTCTGAGACCAAAAAACTGTTAAGTAGGGAAAATACCTAAACATGTGAAGCGTAAATTAAAAATTAAATAAAAAATTGTATAAAATTTTTTATATAATTTATCACTTTATTTATTACGACGATGTGTATAAACAATGAATAATAATATAGAGACCTTGCGCGACTAGAAATTTCGCGATTTGTCACTTTTTTGTCATTTTTATTGTTATCTATTTTTATTACTTTTATAGGTCAATTATTAAAATTGCCAGTATAACGATAAACTTTTTTTAGATTAGAAAAAACTTTTTATTAGTTTAGGAAAAAATCAATTTTTATTATGCCTAAGTTATTATCTCCAACATTAATGCAACATCATTATCTCCAATAATACTGTATTAACTAATTAGGACAAAAGCATATTAAGGTATATTAATCAATTGATAATAATATAAATAGATAAGTCATCCTTGGTAGATTTAACTTTGCATAATTTATTCCAATTTAGCTAAACATCTCTGTAATTTTTATTAAGATAACATTGTACAAACTAATTGAGGGTAAGGCTATTAAGGCTGACTGTTTCCAAATTATTTAACTGATATAAAAAATTGAAAAAATTGTTAAAAATAATTTTCTACTTGCCGATAGTTTGCTCTTTTTTTAAGTTGTTTATTTTTCGATCGTAATCGTTTTTCTGTTCTCGAAATATAGCCAGCTGTTGCTCAAGAAAATTTGCGTTTCTTTCTTCTTCGGTAAACCTATCGTGCAAACATCCAATTTCTTGTTGGAGGAACGACTTTTCTTCGAAACGTAGTAATCTAATAGAAATGGAGAAGTACTAATAAAGTATTTTTAATATACTTTAAACGGCGGATACACAATTTGCTTTTAGCGGTAAGTGAAACACCCCAAACGAAACCGGTTTTGATTAGCTGCAGGTAAAATTATATAAGATGCCAAAACCATGCGAGTGGATCAATTGAAACTGGGGCAACTATAAGATAAACAAACTTTTTGCTTTAATTACTTTCAACAGGAATATAAAAAGAGGTTCGTTCAAATTTACTTTTTTTTTTTTAATGCAAACTTATAAACGTTAAAACTAATAAATGTTTATATCAGATGTTTTAAGTTAAAATCCTGTATCCGCCATTTTTTAAATTGTAATTAGATTGATGTCTACCATTAATTTACTTAATTTAGATTAATACCTCAGCTCTTCAAGGTTTTTCTTTGCATTTCGGAGTTCTTTATGCGAATTGTTTACTTGTTCCTATTTTAAATGAAAGACTTACATCATAATAAACAATTTTGCTTTTATGAAAAATAATTATTAGAACCAAAAACCATTTGTAACTTACAAAATATTAAAACTAAAACCTTTACTTAAAAAATCGAATAATAACCAAATATATGAAGTTTAAAATTTAGCGAAGAAAACAACCCTTTACTTTTTTACCTCCCCCCCCCCCCCCTCCCTTCGCTTAATTGTGTGAGGGCAATAAAACTTTTTTTTTTTTTTTTTTTTTTAAAAAACTTGATCAAATTTTATCAATAAAATTAAAGTTTCATTAAATATATTTATGTGTTTGAACATTACAGCAAACATTTTCTAGCAGAATTTCAGTGGACTTATATAGGTATTTTGAACGGACCGCTGTAGTTATGAACCGCTTAAAATGCCTATAAAGGTCCATTGTAATCCATTACAACAATGTTTGCTGTGTTTATTGTAGCTAAATCTAGTTTATAACGCTCTTCTCAAAAAATAACGAAAAATATATTAACTATAAAAAAAAAAAAACAACGAAAAATTAATTAAAGATATAAATATACCTTGAAGCAAAAAATATAATAACGATTGAAATTGTTATATATTTTTACATTTTAGATTTGCCAAAAACTTTTTTTCAGAATCCTTTATTCAAACTCCTTTATTCAAACTACTTTATGACTATTTGACTTTTAAGATTGATAAAATTTATTAAGCAATGTTAACATTTAAAAATAATAAAATTTATTATATAGCGTTAAATTTTATTTTTAATTTGTAAATATTTATTATGACGCCGCGTATAAACGGCGGATATTAAAATAGAGAGGCACCTTGTACGACTAGAAAACCGTGAGATTAAAAACCGTCCAATTAACCAAAAAACAAAAATTAATTAGGCGATATACATGACCTGTGAGGCCAATAAAATAAAATAATTAATATTGTTATTGTTAAAGTTTAAACCAACCTCTAACTTGCATTCAGCTTCTATTATCTAAAAGTAATCAAAGTCATAAAAGTCATGTAACTATGTACTTAATTTTTTTATTTTATTTTACATTGTTTTGTTTAACATTTACTTTAAAGTAAAACTTCAACTTTTTTAAATTAACGATTAAATTTTACCTACTTTATCATTTTATTGACGATGGCAAAACTAAGCTTTACCTTTGCATGTGTTTCTTGACACCTCGGAGAGAACTCAACGATAGAGATAGCGATTCCGCTATCGCGATCAGAAAATAGATGATTTGATAACTCGTCACATTTTATTTCTCCATTAGGAATATTATCCGCCTGTAAAACTTCTTTTTCTTCCAACATAACAACCACACTTTGAATTAAATCAAACACAATGGTCTTTTTATTTACTTTTTATTATTTGCTTAGCTTCTTTTAGTAGTAGAAATATGTTTACAATATAACACACATTTCTCGAACATAAAAAATGCAGACAAAAACAATAAGCTAACTTTACACTTTTTTTTCGTCGTTTTTATGTTTAGAAAAAAAAAAACAATTTGCAGAAGCTACTTATCATACTCAAAGTGTTTCTTGAAATAATCGGTTAATAATACTAATAATAATAATAATTGAAATAAATAACGTTTTAAAAAGAGCAATCTCTAATAAAAATTATATCAAAATAACTTTTAAGATTAAAATAATTTTTTTTATAAAAACTAAACTGAAAAAACACGACAATTGAAAACAAAGTTTATTTTATGAGAAACAAATTTGTATAAACTTGTTATATGAAATGATTTCATATTAATTTTTCACGCGATGAATGCAGTTTTTTTAAAACCAACTGGGAATTCATAAATTAGCAGAATAAATCGTTTTATTTTAACAATGCGTCACCGTATTTTTCAAGACGTATTCGCTGTAAAACTATATATTACATCAAAACTTGGGACTATCCTAGTCAAACGTTATATATTTAATAACGACATTATTAATTTAACATTGATCTATTACAAAACTTCGTTTAGTAAAACTTTTTTTTAACAAAGCAGGTGAACATTCAAGGCTGTGGTTTTTGAAACATTAGGTGCCAAAAATAAATAATAATTAAAAAAAATATTTATACACTTTGAAAACTTTTTGCAAAGTGTTTAGGAAACCAGCTGCAACTGAGATATTCTCTTTAACAAACTTTACTTCGATAAAAACCTACTCCTCTATATATTGAATGCAAACAGTTACGGATCCATGATTATTTGGTATTTGAGATAGCTAACTTCCAGACATGGAGCTAACTCCAAACATTTGTATGTTTATACTCATGTCAAATCATGAGGCTTTGCAAAAAATTGCAATGATTGGAGTTTGGGAACGAAAAAACCCTTTGACTTTATTCCCCACCCCAAACGAGAGGGGCAACAAATAAATAAAATATTTTTTATACTACAAATAGACTTATATTTATTGATAAATTTTAAATTTCATAGTATGATCTGTCAGCGTTCAAAAAATATGACTATATAAAGTTTAACTCCCTTAATTTAAGGGGGTTACAAATTTTATTGCCCCTCAAACACCAAAAAAATTCTGGATCCGTCACTGAACATAAAATCTTCTTTAGACTATAACAGCAGTGCGATAGTTACCTAATTTATAAATTAGTTTCATTTGCTTTTAAGCAAAAAGTGAGACAAAGATTGATTCTGTCACCCCACCTGTATAACATATACACTGAAAGAAAAGATTGTTGATACTATTATATATGGAAAGTTCACTGGTCTTGCAGATAATGCGGGTGACATATTTTTGTCAGCTATACTCTATAGGCCTAAAAAGACCTTTTTCAACTTATAAAACAGTTTAAACGACGCAAAGCTTAACGCTGTCTAAACGGATCGTTTACTCTCAGGAAACGACAGAAACTAATTGCACGATTTCCCTAGTTGACCATCCAATAATATCTTAAGATAAATTTAATCTGGGTATTACTTGGGATACAAAAACAATTAATTGTTGCCTCACATAATAGAATAAATAACGACAATAGAGTAACGCATTTGAAAACAACAGTGAAAACTTTGATTCGATCTAAAGTTCTGTTTGTACATCCAATTTCCATTATTCATTTGAATACATTGTTTGCAGTTCCGACGCTAACCCACGGTATGTATTGCTAACCCACGGTATGTGACGCTAACCCACGGTATGTTCCCTTAACCCACGGTATAGAGCTATGTGAAAACAATAAGTTTACAATGAAAAAACTTTGGCAAAATTTTTGTTTGATATAAAGGAATAATGTAACATTCATAAACAAAAAAATAATAATTAGAAGTTTAGAATGTACTGATAATACTTTTTAAGTTTTGGTATTGGCTGTTCAATAATGGAATGCAAAAAATTATTTTACAATCAAGTATTGTAGGAAGCTGCTTCTGTCGGAAAAAATAAGTATAACGTTAAACTTACATGTATTGTTAATGTTTATTATTTATTAACATTAATCTATCAGCATTGCAAGCAAACTTGCAACAAACATTGCAAGCAGCATTGCAAGCAAACTTGCAGCAAAACAAAAGCCATATTTTTTTACAGATTTTACAGATTTTTTTGATAAAATACGCTGCATGCAGGGTATTTAAAAGGCAAATCTTTTAAGGAGGGGGCGATAGTTGCCCCCATTGACAAAGTGGCTAGAATTCACAAAACCATGAGTTCCAAAGTTCAATGCCTGCTCTAACCCAATAAACGACATTGGTAAGCAGGTGACGTGATTGTATTTAAATAACAAAAAGTTATTGAAATACAATTGCATGATGAAAATAAAGAGAGTTGTTTAACTAAAAGCAATATCTTGTCGATGTTTTTACACAGTTTTTACACCTATTTCTAACGATCGGTTATATATGTCATTTTGATTATACTTGAAGCAGGCGTTAAGAATAACAAATTAACAATACAATATTAACTTTAACATTATTAATAAAAGCTAAAAAAAATATTAACAAATAAATTTTGTAAAAGATAAATAAATTTACAGAAAAGAAACGATAAAAAAAAAAGAAAAAAAAGAAACAAAGAAGTTTAAAAATATTAAAACAACAAAACCATTAAACGCTTTAATTTAATTGATCGCTTTTTAAAATAGAGCGAAGAAAATATCTATTAAAATCATTTAAAATAATGTAAATTAAAAAAGAGATTAGTAATTAATTAAGATTAAATACCAATATAAAAACTATACATAAAGAATATGTTTTAATATTAGAACCAGTAAAACATGATGTTATAAATTTATATATAAAGCAAAGTTGATGCATAAGCCAAAGATCACAGAAAAGTCTCATGATCTAAACAACGCTACGCTACGCTACGCTAGGTTTTTGAAAAATTTATTAGTTTCACCCAGATAACCTAAGAAAAAGTTGCGCATTCCATCCCAAATCAGTAATTCCTTCAATTTTGCTTAAATTTGTTAAGAGTTCCGAATAATTTAAGCTTATAAGTTATAGAATTTCAATCCACACCTCACGATCCTCTAAAAGAAATTAAAAATTCAGTTTCCGCAAAAAAAACATTTTGGCTAAATATATTGGGAGGCTGTATAAGTGCAAATTTAACATGTGCGAATTGACATAAGTGCGCTAAAAGAATTTGCAAAAATTGGCATAAGTGCAAACTGGCATAAGTAAGAATTGCTATAGGTGTGCCGAAAGATTTTGCAAAGATTGGCATAAGTACGAATTGGAACAAGTGCAAATTGACATAAGTAGGAATCCTTAGCCAATGTTTTCAAATCTTTTGGCTAAATTACACACTTATGCCGGTTTGGACTTATGCAGATTCGTTATTATAAAATTCGCACTTAATGAGTCGCCCCGAATATTTATATATATATATATATATATATATATATATATATATATATATATATATATATATATATATATATATATATATATATATATATATATATATATATATATATATATATATATATATATATATATATATATATATATATATATATATATGTATATATATGTATATATATATATATATATATATATATATATATATACATATATATATATATATATATATATATATATACATATATATATATATATATATACATATATATATATATATATATATGTATATATATATATATATATATATATATATATATATATATATATATATATATATATATATATATATATATATATATATATATATATGTATATATATAAATATATATATATACATATATATATATATATATATATATATATATATATATATATATATATATATATATATGTATATATATATATATATATATACATATATATATACATATATATATATACATATATATATATATATACATATATATATATATATATATATATATATATATATATATATATATATATATATATATATATATATATATATATATATATATATATATATATATATATATATATATATATATATATATATATATATATATATATATATATATATATATATATATATATATATATATATATGTATATATGTATACTTAATTTCCAACAACAAACTAGTTAATAAAAAAAACGAGAGAGAGAGCAGCCGTTGCGCAGTGGTTAGAATTCGACGTTCGACGTAGGCTCTAGCCCAACAAATGACATTAGGAAGGAAGGATGTGTAAACTTCTAGTTAAATTCTCTTTCGCGGTGCTCTGTGATAAGATCATAAGGACCATTGGGAGCACAATTCATAGGAGTAAATAAAGCTAATATTATTCTAATGACATATTTTTGGTTATTAAAGAGCTTTTTTTATTTTGTTTTAATTTGTGGTAATCTGGGCTAGTTTTGATTCAAATAACAAAAAACAAAAAAGAATTAATAGTAAAATAGTAATAAGGCATTGCTTGTGGATGCTGTATGATATAAAAAAATGCAGTCTTTTCTGTACCTAAATTGTCATTAGTTAGTGTAATTACAAAAGAAATATAAAAAAAAAATTTAAATAAATTTCTGAAAATGAAGAATAATTTTGCCACACAAGTGTTAGTCAACAGGTTGCAACAACGTTGCATTGATATGGGGCACCAAACATATTGACATTAGCTAAAATAATGGCAACTAATATTTTTCATTAAACTGATACTCTTCTTAATATGATGAATTCAAAGTTTTTTGATGATCTGCCCACTGCGCTGCAACAGTAAATAAGAAAACATGTTGTAAAAGCTGGCGCAATTTTAGCACATTATTTATCATAACACACAACTCGCAAATTCATGTGAAAAGTTTTATTGCGTATCTTGGTTAAACTAAAATGTTTAAAAATTCTTTTTGAAATTATTCGAAGCTAAAGAAAATAGGAATGACAGGCTAAGTGTCTGGCAATTTTGAGTAGATTACCAACATCTATTATTGTTGTTTTTAGTTAAAAAATCATAACCATTTTGATAGCGGGTTGCAAAAAGGTGTGAAGCAATACTTTGTCGATGAATTAAAATAACTACTTTGAATGTAGTTTTTTTTTATTAACTACCAGAAACTTGTGCTGCATTCATTTTTTGTAACATTTGTAATAACACAAATGCAGTCTTCGTGGCATTTTTCGACAAATGGCTCGGTGCAGAAATTTTGATATATATATATCATTTTTGAAAGTTATAAAATTCTGTATGTTTAAATTTTATTTTCAATACACTTAGAACTTTTTTTTTGAAAAAATTTTTTATCTATACATTTGTAATTATAATTTTTTTTTAATTAAACTCTGATCTATGTTAAAAAATTAATAAAAAATGATCAGAAAAGGTCACAGAAATTTGTTTTCTAATATTAATAAAGTTATAAAAGTTTTGTTCTTTTACTTTTATTTCTGCAGTAATTATTATTATGCTCAGTTATTACTGTTTATTAGTTTATAAATAATTCTCAACACTTACCAATATTAGTTTATTAATCGTCCATATCCCTTGTTTATAAAATCTTGTTTAAAAACAATTTAAATTAATTAAGAATATATGATATTATTAACTATATAGAATATCATTCAAAAGATAGTTTTAATAAATAATGTCTTTGTTGAATACATTTGGAGAATCATATTCTTCAACTTGTAGTTTATAACTTTGATTGATGGTTTCGCAGTGGTATCTTTAATTTGTTGCAGTTTATAACTTTGATTCATGATTTCACAGTGGTATCTTTAATTTGTTGCAGTTTATAACTTTGATTCATGATTTCACAGTGGTATCTTTAATTTGTTGCAGTTTATAACTTTGATTCATGATTTCACAGTGGTATCTTTAATTTGTTGCAGTTTATAACTTTGATTGATGATTTTACAGTAGTACCTTTAATTTGTTGCAGTTTATAGCTTTGATTTTACAGTGTCTATTGTTTTCACAGTAGTATCTATCATTCGCTGTAAAAACTAAACAGTTTTTATTCGTGTTCTATATTATTTCAGTCTTTATATTTAGTACATCGAAATGCTTAAAATATATGCATTTTAAGCTTTCTTATTTAAATGTATATTTTCTTAGTTATAATTCTTCTAAGTTCAATTTCTTTATTCTATATATTTTTGATATTCGATATCTTTCTTTAATTTTTTTTTTCTTTTCTAAATTTAATTAAGGTGCCCTAAGACGTCCTTACGGTCATATCACAGAGCACTGCGGATGAGCATTTAATTGGAAGTTCACGCCTCTTTCCTAACCGATGTCGCAAAACTTGCCCAGAGGTGGTATTTGAACCACGGGTCCTTTGTTTCTGGGGCAAGTGCGCTACCACTGCGCCACGTCGCTCAATTTTGATGTACTTTTGAGAAAATAAATAAATATTTTTTTACTTCTGATTATTTTTCTCTTAAAAATAATAATAAATTAATTCATTTTTAAAATATCTGAATTTAGATGTTTAAAAAATAAAAAAGAAAAAAAAGAAAATTGCTATTTAATAAAATAATTTGTTAATTAAACGTAAAACATAAATTCAAACCTATTGTATCTCTCCGGAGGAGATACAATTGGTTTAAAACGTTTAATGAATACCCATTGGACATCCAAAGGACGTCCAAATAACATCCAATAGATGTCATAAGACGTCTTATGCTTACTTGGCTGTTATTTCCAAATCAATTTTATCGGATTATATCTATAATATCCAAATTGATTGTATGGTTGTTATTGATTTCAATATTTATTGATTTACTGAATTAATTTTCCACTTTCTTTAAATTTAGGTTATAACTTTTTGATTTATATCTTCTAAAAATATTCAAAACTTTACTATTATATATCCTAGTTTATTCTGCCTTTCTGATTCCAGGAGCTTAATTTTATTTTAAGTTTCATCTCACCAACTTATAGGTATTATAGTCCCCTTATGCTCACCATGCAGTTTACCCAACTTTGTTTTTAAGTGCTTTTTTGCGCATTGCAGTGTGCATCATTACTGATCATTAAATCTAATAAAATAGAATAATAGGTGTTATAATAAGTTAAAAGCATCATTATTTTAAAGATTTCTCTTGTTGCAATTTACTTGCAGTTTACTCAAATAATTATAAGTTTCAGAAATTAGTAATACAACCATGAAAGGTTTGTCAGGTATTTTAGCAATTTGCAAAAGGATTGATTAAAAAATCATCATGAAACATGATTATTAATTTATTAAAAGCATAAATTAAGATTTTTGTAGCATATCTGTTTTTAACTTTGTGTTCGTTATTTAACATATTGAGCAAAGCATGTTGATTGGAAACACTAGGGAATAGATTGTAATACAAGGATGTTATAAACTGTTCTTGTAATTATAATGTTATAAGCTGTAATTAAATGTTATAATCTGTTCTTGTAATTTAAATGTGACAAATGTTAAAGAGTCAATTCCTAAAAAATAAAATATCGTTTTTGCATACTTTTACTTTTAACTTTTGGTAAGTGCGTCATTTCTGTCACTACTTATAAGTAATTACTACAAAGAATCAACTGGTGCATTTTCCCAATCCACTATGTCGTAATTTCATAAAACGGGTGGTCAAAAATAGTTTTGAAGAAAATTCTTACTTTTTATCTTTTTTTCATTTAAACAAACAATTTATTAACTTATTTAGTTCAAACATCTGGACTTTTAGATTAATTTTTTGATTTTTAAAATTTTAAAATTTTAAGAGTTTTTATATGAAAGAACAAATATCTATTTTTTTTTTCAGAAATTCTTAATAAAGGAAAATTTTTTAAAATTTTTAAAAAAAAAACTTTATTAAAATTTTATTGTCTCGAACATTTAAAAGCATGTAGTTCACGATGCTGTCTGTAATATTTCTTTTGGCATTCAGATGCTTCCTTGGCTAAAACTCCCAAGAAAGCTTGTGAGTTTATCATTATTTCTGCTCTATGTGCGAGACTTTGTGGGCTGATGGCGTTTTATACCAATCATACAAATCAAAATATCGACGATATACTGTTTTGCTCAAATAACTTTGGATTCGATGTTTGCTGACAACTTATTGCAATTAAACATTTTGATAATAATAATTTAATAAGACATTTTTGAACATTTTTAATAAAGTCTCATCAATCCCTAATACTTGTTCTTTTGTGTCAGAGAATGCTTTTATACAAACATTTCCGGTTGTAGATGCTCCTGCTCCACTAACTGCAGGGAAATCAACTTTGAGATGCTTCCTTTTGAACATTAATTGCTGGAGAATTTCTTTTTATTGTTGTATCTTGTTTTGAACTCTTTGAATGCTCTCTATTTTTTGAACTTGAGTCAATATGATATAGGTAAAAGACTTTCTAGAAATCTTATCCAAGCATGTAACGGAGATATCTTATAGATCAGTGTACCTTTTTTTTTTTGCTGTAAATCCACTTAGAAAGTTCTTCAATGTACATCATTGTAGTTGATGTAGCTCTGCAAATACAAAAGCATTGCGTTGACGATATGTTTGTCATAACTACTAAAGAATTTTCCGTAAATCATGCACAAAATCAATAACAAAAAACTTCCCATTAACGTATTCAATACTCACTGGATGCAAATCCAAAATTTCATTTTCTATTTGACGTTGTTTGTCTGAAATAATTACGGAAGTTTCTTGATGAAATGAAGTTCACAAATAGTCATTTGGTGAACTTGACACGCTGAACCTTAAAGATGTTATTACAATTGCAAACATGCTTAAGTCTTGACTGTCAACAGAATTGGAAAACCCCTTGTTGTACAAATCTTGTCCAACCAGTGGTCGTCCAATTGTTGACTTTGCTGGTCACTATCTCATGAACTACTATCATTAGAGTAAAATTACTTTGGATTTTTCTTAATCCAAGTGTTTTGAAGCAATAGGGATTTAGTTTTCAAAAATTTGAGACAACTTATTTTTTTTTCGTCACCCCAAAACACAAATGCAATGTTCTTTCTTAAATGTTAAAACTGTCAGAAATCTGACGTATTTTTTTTTTTTCTCGAAGTTTTTATATAAAATGATTCATCTTTTTGAAATTATTATATAATTTTGCTTTGTTTGAGATTCAACATGACATCCTTTTAAAAAACATCAAGAAATTTTTTTTTTTTGAATAATATTAAAAACCTATTTTTTGTTTAACAGTACATGTTATATAAATATAAAATTATTTCAAAAATGTATTGATTTAATGATATATGGCATTCTTAATAACAATTTTCTCCCCTAGTGTTAAAATATTTCTTGTTAACAATATTTTAGAACCATTTAATAAGTTAAATACTTTAACAATATTTACATCAACAATAAGTTAATTTATTAAATCTATGAGTTGAATAGTTGTAAATTCTAATAGTGATAGATATAAATATAAAAATATATAAATATAATTTACAACTTTGTATTTACATTAGATATATATATATATATATATATATATATATATTTATATATATATATTATGCGGCTTTGCGCAGTGGTTAGAGCGCCTGCTTTATAAGCAGGCGAGGTTCGAAACGAGCTCTGGACATATTTTCGCGTCACGGTAAGGAAGGAGGCGTGAACTTTCTGATTAAATGCACTTCCGCGGTGCTCTGTGACAAGACTGTTAGGTCTTCTTGGGGCACCTAAAAATAATAATAATAATAATAATATATATATATATATATACATATATATATATATATATATATATATATATATATATATATATATATATATATATATATATATATATATATATATATATATATATATATATATATATATATATATATATATATATATATATATATATATATATATATATATATATATATATATATATATATATATATATATATAATGTAAATACAAAAAGTTAGTAAATGAAACAAGAAGTACATTTTTATGTTTAGCTTAAAAAAACCGTAAAAAGGAGAGTAAATTTCAAAAATAGAAGGCAGAGGAAGTAAAACTTTAAATTTTTGCATAAAGGATAGGTGTTAGGTGGGTGAAGGATGGGTGTTAGGTGGGTGGGAAACTTCAAAAAATTTAAAAAAATTCTTTTTTTCACTTATTGTCACACGCACACATTTTTTATATTTGAAATCTTATAATCTAGCCCCGTTGATGTAATTCAGTTAAGTTATAAAAACCTTTAAATTATATAAAGTATATGAGTTATTTTTATATAAATAAATATTATATAAAACAATAAAGAAATAATATTAATTTTTAACTGAATACAATAGAAACTGAATGACGTCAAATTAGATATTGGTTTCAAATGTATACCATGCAGTTTGAAAAGCTAATTTTACATAAACATTATTAAATTTAAATTTATATTAACAACAACAATTTGTATTAACAAATGTTTGTAATAATACTAATGGTTTATGGTTTACTACAGCATGTTGAAGCGTCCAATGAGATTGTAGTACCGAAGCTTACAAAGCTTACACACGAAAAAATTGTTGTTTTAATAACGGGAAAAATTAACGTTCAGATTGTGCTGAAAAAATACGATTATACTTTCACTTATGGTCCAGCTTCTTTTGATCAATGTTTTTTTAATGGAAACATAAATAATAATCCGAGATATTATGCTGCCATGGATGTTTGCAATGGTTTAAATGGAGTATTCTACTATCAAGATAAAACCTTTTACTTGACGCCGCAAAAGAACAATTCTTTGGGAGAACATACTCTTGAGGAAATTAGGAAGAACTTTACGACAAATTTTTTGAAAAAATCTTTACATTGCTCATTTGACTTTAAACTATCCAATTATAATAATTTAACTTATCAAAACCCAAAAAATTTAAGGTTAAGAAGAGATGAAGAACAATATACTGATAAATACTATGTAGAATTGTATTTTGTAAACGATTATAGTGTTTTCAAATATCACAAAAGCAACATTAGCGAAGTCATTAGAAGAACAAACTTAATCGCAAGCATTTTAGATGCGAAATATGCTGTTTTACGAACGCGAATTATAGTTGTGGGAATTGATGTGTGGAATGACGGAGATAAAATGGAAGTGGTAGATGAATCTCTACAAACTATTCAAAACTTTATGAATTATCGAACAAAATACATTCAAGTTAAAAACGACAACGCGCAATTTATAACAAAAAAACCATTGGACAAAGGTAAAGTTTTTAATTTAAAAATATAGTTGTATTCGAACATTTGCAAAATTCTCATTCTGACATGCACGAATGTTGACACACTTACATATAAGTGTGTCAGCATTCGTTTCTTAAGGGATTCGGAAGCAGTTTGTTAAGGAAAACTAACGGAAACTAGCCCGTTTCTTAATTTTTTAATTTAATGCGCATAATCCTGAAGCTTTCCTTTTACATTAGCATATACCTTGAAATATCTGAATAATTCTAATAAATTATAAATTTTGACGATCCTTTTTAAGATTCGTCAATCCGATAACAAATAATAAATAATTTTATTATCTATTTTTTTTTTCTTCAGGTATAAAGATACATTTATTGTCGTAGAAAAAAAAATTGTAAAATAAAAAAATATATACACAATTAATACGTATCAGGATTGATAAAAATACATTAATATAATATTGATACAAACTTTAATATAAACTGGTATAATAACTATTATATATTATATATGTTTTTCATAACTATAATACCTAAAAAAAGTAAATCAAAGAAGCTTCAGCATTTTTGTGTATAAAACTCCAAAAAGTTTTGATTTTTCAAGTTTTGCTATCGGGCCTTGAGGCATAATTGAAAATTCAGAATACCGGGTTTATTTATTATTTTTTTTTAAATAGTAGTTATGGAAACTATTTGATCGCAAGTTATAACTTTTGGAAAGTTTCGGTAGCATATTATTTTTATATTTGAACATAAAAATAAAAATCTGATATAAGTTAAGTTTTTTTAAGTTTAAGACTTTCATATCCCAGTAGAAAAAGATTTCATCACATTAGAAGGATGTCTATTCTACTTAGATTATGAATTGCTCGACAAGCATGTTTTTTTTTTTTTTTTTTTTTTACCGTGTAAATTTATACAATCCGTATATTAATTACAAGATATATAGGTTGCAGGGGCGAGAAGAAGACTAATATCTCTTAAAATAAAAAAAAATAACAACACATTGTCAAGTATTTATTTTGATTATTTTTGAGTTAGGGGCTGTCCATTAATTACGCCAAAAATTTTTTTGAAATTTTTACTTCCCCTCCCTCCCCCTTGTCAACAATTCGTCAAATTTCTTAGAGACCCCTTAAAAAGTTACGTCAACTTTTTATTACCCCCCCCCCCCCTATATAAAGAAACTACGTTACAAACTCAACCTAATTTTCCGTTATTTAAGCAATAAAACTCAAAAAAAAAAAAAAGGTTGTTGACGTCAACTTTAATTGACCTCCCCCTCACCGTGTCAACAATTGTCAAAAAAGTTCAGACCCTCCCTTCCCCCTATTTTGTTGACGTAATTAATGGACAACCCCTTAAGGGATTATAGGTTTTTCGAATAATACTTTTATTAATTTTGATCATAAAAATTAGAAGATAATAAGTATTTATTTGGTAGATATTTAGTATATTTAACTTAGTAAATAAAGGTTGGCAGGGCTTTCATCGGATATAATTCTGATCGTATATTAAAGAGTTTTTTAGTTTATTATTATTGGTACTATACCATGCAATGTTAGCGTAATTAATGTTGGCATAATTAATGTTGGCATAATTAAGATAGAAATAAAAGAGAAATATAAGAGTTTTAAACAACTTGAATTTAAAAAAGGTTTTGCCCTATAAAGTAGGCCAATGCTCCTTTATATTTTACCTTCAATATATTTTATATAATCTCTCCATATTACATTATCGTCAAGGAATACTCCTAGAAATTTTAATGATACTTCTCTTTTTATTTCGCAATTGTTAATACAAAGATTTGGAAGTTTTAAAGTAAATTTTGTCTCGTTCATGATAGCGATGGAAAAAAGTATATTTTGTTTTAGTTATATTTAGAGATATATTTAGAATTTATTTGCTTTAAACCATTCAACAAAAAAATTCAGGTATAGTAGTTCTGTGCTTGCAAGCCTTGTTATTTCATTAATTTTGTTTTGTTTATATTGTGCATTGCCCATACTATACTAGCATATGTGAGATGACTATGAATTAGACTAAAGTAAAATTTATTTCTTGAACAGAAATTAAGAAGTGGGCGAGATTTATATAAAATACCTATTGTAGATGATATTTTTGATTTAATGTGCCCAATATGATTTCTCCATTATAAATTTTCATCTATTTGAACACCAAAAAACTTTACATACTTTTCCCGTTTTATTGTTATGTTGCATATATTATGTGCAACTCTGGAATTTTTAACGGTAGAGACATGGGTTAACCTTTTTATGAAATAAAATGGAGTTTTTTTTATAGTTTAAGGATAGTTTATTTACCCTGAACAATAAATTAAAGTTTTCCAGTTCAGTATTCATTGTTCCGAACATCGATTTTAAATTACTGGTAGAAGGGAAATTGGACGGTAGTTAGACATTATTTATATATATTTAAAATAGTTGTTTTTATAGTTCTAATTTCGATTTATTTCTTCCTGTGTTATTTAGTCCTGACTGTAAAAGTTTTAAAAAAATTGTAAAAAATTTAAAACATAGACGAAACAAATTTTTTACAGGTTTTACAGCAGGAAAAGCGCCCGTTGGTACGATCTGTTCTGGAAAAAATTCTGTTGGTATAAACCACGATACTTACGATAATCCTGTATATATATCTAATGTTGTAGCTCATGAACTTGGCCACAACCTAGGAATGGTGCATGACGAACATGCTCAATGTCTGTGCTATGATAATGAGAAAAGTAATTGCATTATGGGGTCATATTTAGATGGAGATGTAAAAAGCTTCTCAGAGTGCAGCGTTCGTTATTTTAATGCATTTATATCAAGCGGGTAAGTATGCAGTTTAATATGTAAATAACAGAGATGTTTTCAAATTTTTTTTTGTTTTGAAGAAAATACTTAAAAAAACAGAAAATGAAAAGCTTAGTGCAAAAAGTTCTTAAGTTACAAAAAAAATGAATTTTTTTAATATAATGATTAATCAAATATAACGATTAATCAAATATAACGATTAATCAAATATAACGATTAATCAAATATAACGATTAATCAAATATAACGATTAATCAAATATAACGATTAATCAAATATAACGATTATTCAAATGATAATTCTGATAATTTTATTAAAGCCCCAATAAATATTAGAAGAGACTGGGGTTTGGATTTTCATTTTTTTTTTTTTTTTTTTTTGTTCACTGTTTCATATTTTCCACAAAACTGCATCAACGGGTTTTAAATTATAGTGCAATGAATTGAGGAAAATGATTACGTCAACTTCAAATTTCATCTAATATCTTAGTGTTCGAAAGTTATGACCATTCAAAGCTTCTAAAATGAGATGGTTATAAACTTTAAATATTTATAGTTTTCAAACGCTAAAATTTTATAGAAACTTGAAATTTGTCGATAAATATATATGTATATATAAAAAAAAATATTAATATTGTTAGAATAGTAAAAGTAACTCATAACGTTCTCATCACCAAAAAACACGTAAATCATCAAAGAAAAAATATTTCAAATATATTTATATATTATTAACCTTTTAACCTGGAGGCATAGATAATTCTTCTTCGTCACTATCAACAGCTATTTCAACGCTTGATATAAACTCTAACGTTTCTATCCGTTCTAAAGCAGTTTCATAACTGTCAAAAAAAACCTAAAGTAAAGTTACTATATTTCTAATTTTAAGTTTTCAAGTTTGCCATTATCGTAGTTTTGAACCTTAAACATAGAATATTAATGCAAAGCTTAAAGCCAAAATCATGATCTGGGACAACTTTACCATATAAGTTCCATTTTAAATTAACCAATTTGATTTTTTAAAAGCTATTTCTAAAGGATCAACTTATATTAATTCATTATGCTACATAGAGCTCCAAAACAATTTTAGAACTGTAACTAAAATGAAAAACTGTAACAGTAATGATTTCAAATTTTTCAGATAAATAATATAATATAACAACACGTAATAAAAGAAAATATAGCTAACAATTTTCATAAATGAATTTAGAACTCATCACTCTAAACTGTTTACCTACAAAAGTGAGTGCAAAAGTACAAAAGTGTAAATTTATGCATAATTAAGTGCCCGCTTAATTTATGCATAATTATGTAAGTGTAAAAAATTATATTTATTTGTAAAAAAAAGTCTAACATTCGAAATTGAAAATATGTGACTTTAAAAATTAGCTTATTATGAAACAATAAAACTAACTTAAAATAATTTCAAATTATTTGATTTGGCATAGTGGGTAAACTCGATTTAATGTTTTCGAATTAGACACAGATGAATGAGACCTTTATTTAAATTTTAGTTTTTTGTCGGAAACAAAATCTCTGTTGAAACTTTTTTATTTTTTAAAACTAAATACTTTTAAGTAAAGGAGCATGTTTGTACGACTACCCTGTTGGCTGGGTTAAACCACCCATTTGCGGAAATGGTATTATTGAAAAAGGAGAAGAATGTGATTGTGGATCAAGAAAAAATTGTGCTTTCTTTGGTAATTGTTGCCATCCAGAAACCTGTACTTTGTATAAAAATGCAACTTGTGCTTCTGGAGGATGTTGCCATAAATGTCAGTTTCAATCAAGAGGAACAACTTGCCGCAAAAAGGTAAATATAGTAACATTAACGCGCATTTTATATACAATTTAATCAATTTTAAATTAAAAAGTTTATGTTTATTTTCAACTTACTAACTAAATTTTATTTTTTATATATTTTGAAAAATATTTTTGAAATTTTTTATGTTTTTGTATTACCTATTATATTATCAAAAAAAAAAAAAAAAAAAAAAAACTAAAATGAATTTAGAGTAAAGAATGTGATCTACCTGAATACTGCAACGGTGAGTCAGGAACATGTCCAAAAGACGTTTATATTCAAGATTCCTACAGCTGCGGCGCAGGAAAAGGATTTTGTAAAAAAGGCGTTTGTTTAACTCACAAACGCCAATGTGTTGATTTGTTTGGTGCAAATGTTTCGTCTGGTGACGCATATTGTTACAAGCAACTCAACACCAAAGGAAGCGATGCTGGACATTGTGGAGTGGTGAGCACAAACAACAAATTTATTTTCTTCTATTCATTACTAGGTTTGCCAAAACTGTAATTTTTAGGTTTTTCGTGAAATGCGTAATTAAAAAAATGCATATATTACTTTTCATTCAAATACGTTTTTTTAAATTAGAATTCCGATAAGTTTGTGCGTTGCAACTATACTGATGCGCTATGTGGGAAATTGCAATGCAACAAAATCAAACAAGATAATCTATTACACCATCGATTAGAATGGTCAGAACTTAACTACACAAGGAAATGTGAAAGCGTGAAGAATAACTCCACTAATATTTTAAACAACTTAGTCAAAGATGGTAAGAAACAATTTTTAAACTTATTAAAAGAAAAATTTACACCTTTAAATAGAACGAACAAGTTTTATAACTTCTCCAATGCTATAAAATAATAACTATAAAATAATAACTATAAATATAAAATGCTATTAAACTATTAAACTATAACCTGTAATTAAATTATCAACTACAGTAAAGTTTTTAACATTTTAAGGATCTTAATAACTTTCTAAATCATTTTTGACACAGTTTGATCATTATTTTGCAAAATAATGATAATACTGCGTCAAATCAAATTTGATTAAATTTATTTTCAAAACTTTTTATTATAAGGGAGTTTATAATTAAATTAAACGTTAACTTTTTTATAAGGGAGTTTATAATTAAATTAAACGTTAACTTTTTTTATAAGGGAGTTTAATAATTAACTTTAACATTTTTAATTTTAACGCATTTCTTGGAATGCTACCTTTTCTAAATTTTTTCTTTGAAGTTTCTGGCTCTATTTTTTTAATATAATAATTATTTCAAAAAAGGGAGAGAATTATTGTTTTGTAATATAAAGCGGCAATTTCTTCTTTTAAGCAAATAACTTTCATATCTCACATTACTCTTAGTGTAACGAGGGGGAAAATGAGACACTTAAGCGCTAATACATCTAATACGGCCCGTCTAACAACTTTTGAAAAAATAAATTGATATTTTTCAATTCTTCTACGATCCTACTTGAAGCCTAAAAAGTATGAGTTGCAAAACTGCAGTAGTTTGGTCACCAGAGATCATTTATTGACAGCACCTATCCTGTCTCATTTTGCCCCGCATACCGGGGCAAAATGAGACAGATTTTTTTTTTAGTAACTTAAATAAATAAAGTTCAAAAAAAAACAGATCTTCAAGAGGATTAGCAAGTAATACATTTTATAATATATTACAGCTATAATCAAACTGTCACTAGTCACATAAATCACATATTGCTTGACCAGTATTTTGAAACGAACAACAGTCCAAATGAGCCCAGGTTGTGCATTTTGAAAATTGACTCCACTCTATATATATATATATATATATATATATATATATATATATATATATATATATATATATATATATATATATATATATCCACTACAAGAACTAATAAAACCATACATGCATATATTTAACTTATGTATATAAAGCACACATAACATTCATTGTATTTTGTTCATAGGTACTGCAATAACCTATATGTTATAATCTACTCACTATATATTTTATATACTACTTACTTTATTACATTACAATACAATAAGATTATAAAATACAAACATAGTAATTATAAACATCAGGCAATTATTTGCTTCAATTTGATTAAATATTTATTATATTTAAATATAAGTTAACAAAATATAAAACGTAATTCTATATTGGATAACAACTAAACATTTCAATTAACAAAATAAAAAGTAAGTAAATACAGTAAAATAAATTTAAATCTACAGCATGTAAATATTAATATTTGCTTTGGTTGTTGTTTTAATGTAAAAAATTAAATAAACATAATATTAGATATCGGCAAAAAAAAATACAAACAGAATGTCTCATTTTGCCCCGCATCATGTTGGCATCAAATAGCCTAATTTCCAGACTATTTTATTGAAGAAATAAAATACCAAAGAATGGAAATGATAGAAAAAGGCCTAAAGATTCTAATTAAAAAAAAACTTTAAATATAAAAAGCTTTTCCACTCAGTGAGATCAAAAGAGGCTAGGAAAAAATATAATAACAACTCTTAAAAATTCGTAATTTTTGCGAAGCCGAGGGATGAAATGATTCCCCTTTTACTCAACTTTTTTATTTCAAACCGACTCAATATATTTTTCATGACACAAAATAGTTTTTGAACACAACTGCACTTTTAAAAATCTTGCAAATAATAATTTGTAGGGCTAGCATTATGTTAAACACGAACTGTCTCGTATTGCCCCGCTGTCTCATTTTGCCCCGCGTTACCCTATATTTTTATTTTCATAAAATTTTACAAAGTTTCAACAACATACCTTTTTTCATTTTTGATATTTCAGTTTTCCTTTTATTAATTCAAATCCCATTTAAATTTTTAAGAATTGAAAAAAAATTTAATTTTTATATATTGTTTTTTCCTTTTAAAGATTCGATTTTATTTATTTTTATTTTTAACTGAATACAACTGTTTAACTTTTTGAACTTAAGTTTTCATCATTTAAATATTTTTCGACTTATTAATTTGATATATTTTTTTAATAATATGAAATAGATGAATTTAAACAAATGTGTTACTTAATAAACTAAATATAGTTGGAATCACGGGTATCTTAATAAACAATAAATCACTTTAATCAAATTTAATTTATACAAAAGAAACAGAAGTAATCGATATAAAAGCAATGGTGTAGCTTTATATGTGGATAAAATAATTGACTTGTATAAAATAAACTTATGTGAAAGTTCTTTAAAACAAGCCTGGGTCGTAGTTGTAATAAAGTAAACAAAGTATTTAGTTGTTTGTGTATTGACTAAAAGAATTTGCAATTAGCAGACATAAATAAGTACATAAGTGCTTAGTGGAAGGGATAGTGTTAGCCAAAAGCCTGTACTATGGGAGGGGGTGTTCCGGACAGCAATTACGTACGCGGTTTCACCATCTTTCGTATAAATTTTTTTTGAATTTTTTTGAATTTTACTTTTTTAAAACTTTTTTTTTTCTTTTTCTTTTATTTTTAACAAATTACTTTTCTTCTCCTTTAATAATATTTTTCTGATCTTTTTTAGTTATATAAAATAAAACGTCGAATTAGCAAAAGAATTTTTGTTTTTGAATTTTACAAATTTTGTAATAAATAATACGTACGTACACATAGAGGGAGGGATCAATGAAAACGTACAGATGCGTGTAATAGTGAAAGGGAAGTCTAAAGTCAATAGTTTTATTGCAATGTGGAAGTTCTCTTATTAATAATTAAAAAAAAATCTTTACAATCGCAGGTTCATTTCTTAATAAAAAAGGTTAATTTAATAATGATGGCAGACTTATGATCGAACATAAATCTTGAGTTCATAAATATTTTGACTTCATATTTGTAAGAATAATAGTTCACAAAAAACAAAACATAAAATAATAGATTTTTTCAATCCGATTTTTTATAAAAAAAAAATAAATATATTTATTCAAAATAAAAACTGGAGATTTGGCCTCTGTATTCCCACCTATAACCTATTTCTTTTGAAAGAATGTTTTCTTTCCAGAAACATTTAAAATACTGATGCTTGTTAAAGACAATTATACTGAGGTAAGTGAAAAAATTAAGCAATGGGAATTTATAAGTCTGCTGATCTACTATAACCAAAAGATCTTCAACCGTCAAAAATCAAAAAGTCTCAAGTCACTCAAGCGTCATAAAATCATTCAGTCTCTCTGCTTGCTTCTGAGTGTCTTACATAGTTAGACCTACTAAAACTTAAACCTAAACTAATAACAAGTGAAAATTAATTTCAGATGTCCTACTGAGGAATAAGTTTTTTTCGATCAATCATAATCTTTATTTTCGACCGATTTTAGATTTGGAGAATTTAATTTTCAACCGATTATAGGTGATTTTTATTTCTAACGGCTATTCTGCATTTTAAATGTTTTTTAAAAACGTTTTGGTACGTCGACGTAGATGAGTGAACATACATCAACTAAGGATTTTGGCTTGGGTAGGCACTCTTTTAGAAGAAAAATTTTCCTCGAGTTTTAAACTTTATTTTTTCAAATCTTAAAAATATACAAAATACATACCGGAATAGACGAAGTTATATAAGTCATTCAAAAATACAGGAGTTTATTCAAAAATACAGTAGGTTTAAAATTTAGTCGATCGAAATTTCATTGTGTTGAAGAATTAGTTTACACGAGCACATAAAGAACCAAAGTTTTCACTAAAAATAAATAAAAACGTTTAATGCATCATATGACCTAATAAATGAGATCTGCATAGTAAATGATACGGTCACATTTACATATAATGTATACATTAACGTCAGGGTTTCCGCATCTAATAGAAAATCTCGTTCAACGATATTTTCCTTTCAATAAGTAACTTTTTAAAAATAAACCGTTATTATTTTTGTGTATTATTTAAATAAATTTGGGGCCATTCATAAAGTATGTACGCAGTAAAACCACTGATTTAGTATCTTGTCCTCTTTGTACGAACTTGTATTCTTTCAACGACTCTCTTCACTCTCTGCGTACGTACGCATTATTTATTAGAAAATCAGCCCCTTTTCTTAACGCATAAATTTTTCAAAACATTAAAAACAAAAAAACTTTTAGTTAATTCGACATTTCTACGCTACTTAGCTTAATATTGAACTTTTAAACTGTGAAATGTGATGCTTTTCTTAAAAAAAGTTTTAGGAGAGCTATTTTGAACACCCTATTCCTTTGTATGCATTTGTACGTTTTTTTTTTTTTTTTTTGTTCGTTATTACAATTTTTTTTTTGATTAATCGAAAATAATCGCACTTTAATTAATTGGCGGTTAACATTTTTAATCAATTGGATCAAATTTGTGATCTTTTTAGTGAAATTTCTCTCTGAAATTTCTCATAATTTTCTATGGGGTTTTAGTGAAATTTCTCTCTGAAATTTCTCATAATTTTCTATGGGGTTTTAGTGAAATTTCTCTCTGAAATTTCTCATAATTTTCTATGGGGTTTTAGTGAAATTTCTCTCTGAAATTTCTCATAATTTTCTATGGGGTTTTAGTGAAATTTCTCTCTGAAATTTCTCATAATTTTCTATGGGGTTTTAGTGAAATTTCTCTCTGAAATTTCTCATAATTTTCTATGGGGTTTTAGTGAAATTTCTCTCTGAAATTTCTCATAATTTTCTATGGGGTTTTAGTGAAATTTCTCTCTGAAATTTCTCATAATTTTCTATGGGGTTTAGATCAGAGGAGTTCGCCAATCCAAAAGTGGAATTTTTAGAGATGCCATTTTTTTAATGGATTTTGCCGTGTGGTATGGTGCTCCATCTTGCATAAATATTTTCTTCTGCTTATTTGGAAAACACTTCTTCAATTGAGGTAAAAGACAGGTTTTAATGATCTTCTTGTATAGGTCCTGTTTCAATATACCATCCACAATGTACAGTTGACTAAGGCCTTTTCCGCTAACAACCGACCAAAACATAACTTTGGGAGGGTGTTTAATTGTCTGGATTTTATAATCTTCATGAAATTTTACATCGGAAGGACTTTTCACATATTGATTCTTATGAGCTTGTGAGTCAAAATTCTACGGTAGACTCATCGTTGAAGCATACCTGGAGAAAATAAAATAAAAATAATTACTGAATACCAACACTGAAACATTAGAGAAAAATTTTTGTATTACAATGACTTGCCGATTTCCAGTCATTAACAGTGAAACTACTGTACTTCTTTGTCCAATCCAGGCGCCTTTTTCTCTTAGAATTGGTTAATTTTGGCTTTTGTACTGACCTTCTACTTTTAATGCTTAATCCGTGCAAACTTCGTCTGACAGTGATTGTTGCTACATTTAGTCACACCTCATTCAACTTGCTAGTAATTACTGAGTATGTAGCAAATCTATTTTTTTTCACTATTTTCACAAGCTTTCTCTCATTCCTTGGTGTTATTTTCTTTTTTCGACCACATTTGCCTTGCCTCTGAATATCTTATGGAAGACCATTTTTCAATTTGTCTTTGATTCTGCTTACGTGCGTCTTGATATCCCACATTTTCTTGATATTTCACCTATCGAGTAATGCTTATCTTTCAGAAGATATTGATTAATTGCTTTTTTTTCAGAACTGATGTCTTCTTTTTTTACCCATTTTGTTATTTAGAACTTTTAGACAATTTTTCTACTAAAAAATTATTTTAAAACATAAAAATTGCTTTGTGTAGAAAATATTAAAGCAAAGTATACAAAATGTGTAAATATTGTTTAAAAATGGTTTAAAGTGTATTATAATATAAATCTAATGTAACTAAATCAAAATATTTTACAAAAATACTGCACTTACTAAGTAAACACTGTTTTACTAAGTAAACAGTAAAACAGCACGGCGGACAAAACACAAATGTCATGAATTAAACAGATGCTGTTTATCCCCCTGAAATTATTTTTGTATTGCTACTAACCTAAAAGTTATATATCAAAAAACATAAATCAGCAAATAAAAACATTGCAAACCAACTTTGCAAATTAAACCATTAAATAGTCAAAATTCTACAAAATTTATAAAGTAGGCTAATAATTTGATCAGGGACTGTAAAATTTGCTATCGAAATTTACCGAATTTAACGAAAAATAACGAATTGTTGGATTGCGGTTGCGCCAGTGCTTAGTCTATATCTCTATCTGCTAAACTAAGTATGTTTACATTGATATATGCATACACGTGTGTGTGTATATATATATATATATATATATATATATATATATATATATATATATATATATATATATATATATATATATATATATATATATATATATATATATATATATATATATATATATATATATATAAGAGCCCTGCGAATCGGCAGTTTTTGTTTCGACTCAAATTTCGAATCAAAGCAGGTCTTGACTCGCAATTCGAATCACGTTTCGAATCAACATTTTTGAAGTCTAAATTTAAGCATTTTTTACTTAATAATATATGTTTCAAAATAAAATAAAAAATTGCATAAATCTATTTATTGATGCTTCTTGCCCTGGTTAACCTTTTTAATGACAGATTGAAAAGGTATTTAAGGATAAGTAACGTTATTTTGATCGCGCCAAAGCGCAGAATATCTAAAATACCCACAACAAAAACAAAATAAGTATAAGTTTGATTTTTGAAGATTTTCGAATCGTATCTCGAATTATTTTTTTGATTTGATTGGAAATTTCGAAGCTTCGCAGGGCCCTAATATATATATATATATATATATATATATATATATATATATATATATATATATATATATATATATATATATATATATATTTATATATATAGACACACACACACATTTATATATTTATAATACTTATCTAGGTACGCGTTGTGGAAGTGCAAGCATATGCATCAATTACACATGTATAAGTCTACTTAAATATCAGATAATTTTTAAAATACCGAAATGTCCGCTAAATTGTTCACATCACGGAATTTGTAACAGTAATGGTAATTGCCATTGTTATTCTGGTTGGAAAACTCCGTACTGTGATAGACCAGGAGATGGGGGAAGCATCGATAGCGGACCTCCTCCAATAGTATCAGATACCATTATTAGTAGCAACATATTAGACATATTGGTGTATTTGTATCTGGCAAGCGGATTAGTATTTTTCACTATTGGTCTATTCTGGCACACTAGGAATGTTAGAAAAAAATTAAAGTATGCTGAGAAGGAAAAAGATTTTGAAAAAGAAAAACTGTTAAGTTAAGACAATGCTTATAAAAAAAACATCATTACAACATTGATCACAACTTCATATGCATATTACAACTTCATACATTTTCTTTTTTCACTTGAGAATTCGTAATAACGTCAAGGTAACGGAACGTCTCAAGAGCCTTTCTTTAAAGGAAAAAAGTATATAAAAATTAATATATAACTTTGAATAACATTATAGTATTTAAAAATTAAAAAAAAAATGAACTTATTTAACAAAAATGTTTTTTTCGTCTGACTTTCCATTAACAACCGGAATATTAGAAAATCAATTACTTGCTAAAGGTATTATTACTTTTTACATTATTTGTATTTTGAATGTCTAAAAATTAGCTTTATTTGCCAGTAAATTACAAATAAAAATAGCTTAAAATTACATGTTGTAATTTGATTGTTGATCAAATTAAGATGTATTTACACTTTTTAAATTGATTTACGGAAAAAATAATCACAAGAGCATGAGTTTGATCAGTGTTGATAAACGGCGTAAATATTCTCGCCTATACTTTTCTTCCGCAGCAGACGGCGGCTGCCTCCCAATTGATTTTGAACGTCAAAATTTTCTTTATTCCGCTTCCAGTGGCTTCCGCTTTTCTATTTGCGGCCGCAGTCAGAGTTTTTTTCGAGGCAAAATGTTTTGGAGGCCGACGCCAATAGAGAGGCGAAAGAAGAAATGCTAGCAAGCAATTATTTTTCATTACATCCGCCGGCGGGTCGCAAATATTTCTGCCTCCAATTTGGCGGCCGCAGCCAGTTGGGAGGCGGTCTCTAAATAATTCTGCATCCACAATTTTTTCTGGAGGCGGCCATCAATGGCTTCTGCCTCCCTAATGGCGTCGGCCTCCAAAACATTTCGCCTCCAAAAGTATCTCTGGCTGCGGCCGTCAATATAAGGGTAGACGCTACTGGAGGCGGAAGAAAGAACATTTTGCCGCTAATAATTGAATGGGAGGCCGCCCCTAACAGCTTCCGCCTCCCAAAAAAGTTGGCCTTTCGGCAGAAAGCTACTTTACCGCCTGGCGGCATTATCAATTCTGCGTTTGATTAAAGAGGAAAATAACCACGTGAGCATACATAGTTCGTAACTTCAATATTTCTAAAGCAAAACAACGCATACTTACGTGATAATTTTTCACTTCAGTTTCCCGTAGAGAATCAGACGATTGAAAAGTCGACCTTTATAAACAATCGATTAATTGGCCGTACTTATTAATACCATAATAAAATTCACATTAAAGGCATTTCAAGTTATAAATTATTTGTTTGCCAAGAATATTTAAAAGATATTTTCTGATAATACTTCACGGTATGAAAATGCAAAATTTATTCGACTAAAAATCAGAAAAAAAATTTGAATTTTGACTAACTTGATTTAATCTTACGCTATTTTATAAAACGCTAATTATCCCAACGATGGGTTCAGTGACGCAACAGTTTTAAAAATATAGTTATACGTTAATATAACGCTTTTTAAAATTTTTTTTTGCAGAGCGAAAGCTATTCTTTATAGCAGGATTTCTAAAAAAATCTCGCCCTATTACCTTATTTCATATTGACAATTAACTTTTTTTATCTTTAAGTTCAGTGACGCAACCTAATTTATGCAGACGTGTATGTCACATAAAGGGTCGTCCATAAAGTACGTACACTCATAGGGGTAGGGTTTTAAATAGCGTACGAAAACGTATGGGGGAGAAGGAGTGGGGTAGGGTAGAGGGAGGGTTCAATTTTAAAGTACGTTTTTCGTTTTTTTTAATTTATCACAATTAACCTGCTAACCAATAAAAAAGTTGAAACTCTGACTAAAAATCCTAGTTTGTCAATATAAAAAATTTTTTAATAGGTCAAAAATTTTTAAGTCAATATAAAAGGATATTGAGAGGTATAGTAGTCGAGTGTATAATGTCTGGGAACAGAGGTATAGGAGTAAAAAAGGTATAGGAGTTAAAAGAGGTATAGGAGTCGAGTGTATGTCTCTCTATGCAAACTCATGCCACCCTTTATATATTGGCTCTGAGAAAGGCGGACTTAATTTCAGGCAACTCTTTTTTTTAGTCCGCAAAAAATAGGTTTTTAGGAGTGTTGGGGCTAATGGTTCAGAGGCCAGCCTCCCAAAAATAATTTGTCATTAGGGTCTCAAAATCTTCAAAATTTTATTGCTAGATGGGGTCGTATAAAGTATCTAAGTGATGGAGGGATTTGCAAAAAGCGTTTAATAATGGATGGCGAAAAGAAGAGGGGGGGGGGGGGGGAAGCTTGACCAACTTTAAAATCG